CACACACACACACACACACACACACACACACACACACACACACACACACACACATATATATATATATATATATATATGTGTGTATATATAGTATATTAAGAAAATCTAACATTATCCTTCTATCAACTATATTCTACGTGTGCGTGTGTGTTAAGATGTTAAGATAAAAAATGCACAGTCTTGCAGTATATTCTAAGGTAAAGTACTTACATGGTGGCATAGTTTGTTTTTCTAAAGATTGATTAAGTGCGGTGCATAGGTTAACAAGATCCCACTGTGGGAAATGATCAAGGACATTTATTAATATCACAGCATGTGCAGGCCTGGGGAAAAAGGCCACTCTTTGTTTTTCAAAGCAGTATGCTATCCTACAGTGTCAGTTCAGAGGCAGGAATTACATATTTACCACTTGCCCCTTAGGTTCTGAGACATTTTTGTATCAAATGTATTTCTTCTGATTTTCTGACTAGCAGAGAAGAACAGGAAGTCCCTATAGACATAGCTTTCACTCTATTGGTGAAATCCAGCCTGCAAATGAGACACTGAACACTTTTTTTCAGTTTGTCTGGTTCCCCTACTAATGTTGTTGGTAGTGAACGGTTCAACTGAACAGATGTAACATTAAAAAAAAAAAATGATTTTTTTCATGTAAATGTGAAAACATGCATATATTGTTATAAATACACCATTATGAGTTTTTCACCAAAGTCAGAATCTGCTAAAACCATCATGAGTGAAAAAGTTGAGTTTTGTTTCAGTGAACATGTGTGGTTCACTGAAACAAAAGAGAGAAAAAATGAATGCCTTTTAGTTTGGGGCTTACTGATGTCAGAATATCATCAATGTGAAAATATTATCCTCAGGGAGAAGTGTGTTGTGTGTTGGTGCGTGTTTGTTTCTTGTCATTGTTTGATAATGTGAAAACCATGCCCATAAATCATACTTTGATAGAAATGAAATAGTTTATAGGTTAGACACTGGAGGTTTTTTGTGGCCATCGATGCACTTTTACTTTGGCAAATGTTCAAGCAATATGAGCTTTCAAAAAGCTCCAATCCGGTTGTTCAGTGATGACGCGACGAATCCTACTTCCGGGTCTAAAGTAGTCTGCATTTAATATGGCTTTTGTGTTGTTAACATGTTTAATGTT